CAATAGTGTTATAAAAACTTGGGAGAATTCCAGCAAAATATCTTTAATCATTTCTAAGATACACTAGTTCAAAACTTAATCTAACAATTGGACAGTTTAGTTGTTACACGATTTGGACAATGTTACTGTTAGAACTGGCACACATATACATATATATATATATATATATATATATATATATATATATATATATATATATATATATATATATTTTGAACAATAAGAAAATAAAAAATTAAAATTAAAATCATTAGACACACTGGGTTGGAGATTAATATTCTTTCGTTTTTTATTATTATTATTCCATTTAGATTCCTCGACTAGTTTCGACCGAAATGGCCATCATCGGGAGGAGAAATATTTCTGTTTGCTGTTGGCAGTGAACTACAGAAATGTATTAAGATGAATTAAGATTTACGCATATATATATATATATATATATATATATATATATATATATATATATAATCTTAATTCATCATAACTCCTCACACACACACACACACATATATATATATATATATATTGTGTGTGTGTGTGTGTGTGTGTGTGTGTGTATGAGCCACGAGCCACGAGGGCTACTATATATATATATATATATATATATATATATTTTTAAGGCCAGTTTCATTAAATAATTTAGACATTTTCTGTCTACTTATTCTCGATAGGATCCTTTCAGATTTACAATGAATGGTTATTGAAATACGGGAGGAAAATGCCGTGTTCAATAACCACACAAATATATATATATATATATATATATATATATATATATATATATATATATATATATATATATATATATATATATATATCAAATATATATATCAAAGTATATATATATATATATATAAGTGAACATTTTAGCATGAAACACTCTGTCGCCTCTGAATGTTGACTTCAGTGTTCACTATTATATTTACATACGCTCTATCTCTGATTCTGAGCACTTTATCTCATAAATATAGCATAACTTAAAACTATATTTCTTCATCACATCAATCCAACTAAATATATATATATATACAGAGAAAGAGAGAGTATTGGGGTAGCAGATGATTGTCCAAAAATATATTGTTAAGTATAACAGACAACGAATGTCTATTGTGTTTTATCATAAGCCGTTCCAAACGTCGTATAACGGCTTTAATTTCAAGAGGAAATAAAGACAAAATTTGTCCAACATCTGGATATTTCTTTATTATATTAGTTGTCGTCGATCTAAGCTTTCGACTCACATAATCCATCATCAGACTGGCTATACGGACACCTAGTCAAGTACGACATTATAGAACAGCATTAGGAATTTATGACCTGCGTCTACTATTCCGCGACCGTTATCGTTGCATAGCAAACTTCTATGTAAACAAAACAATGTTCTCTTTGACGTTGCCCATCTCTGTTGTTATGTCCATATAAATACTCTGATGATGGCTCATCATTTTGTCTTTATTTTCTCTTGAAACTAAAGCCATTCATTATACGACGCTTCAAAAGCTTCATCGTAAAACATAACAGACATTCATTTGTTAAAAAAAAAAGAAATATTTCAAAATTTTGAAACTACCAGAGTCACTCGTTCATGCGCATGTGTATTCATAAAAATAACGTGATAGCAATAATTATGTATGAAGAGAACTTGATGCAAAAGAGATCCAAGGTTATGACAAAGCATTAAACAAGAAAAGAAGTTCCGACTCAGGCAATGGGAACTGGGAGGGCGGACATTGAGCGGAAAGGAAAAAGAATTCACCAAAATCCATTCTAATGATGGAGAATTAAACAGGAAGACAACAAAATATTTGAAGACACGGACTGGAAAAGAGTAGCGAATAATATAAACAAGCAAAGATCTTTATATCTAAAGATAATATTTACGGATATTGCTCTACGGACTAGGTTTTTGAGCAATTTATACTGGAATTGATCGATTGCAGAATTGATTTTATCCTATAGTTGATGTATACAAGAAAAAATTATATATATATATTACTTAAATTATATATATATATATATATATATATATATATATATATATATATATATTATATCATGTATATATATTATATTTTATAATTATCTTATATATATTATATATTAATTAAATAATATATAAATTATATATATTATATATTGTATATATATATTATAATTAACTTATATATATATATATTATATATATATATATTAAGTATATATATATATATATATATATATATATATATATATATATATATATATATATATATTTATTTCTTTATATATAGTGTTTGTGGGGGATCATAAAAGCGAAACCTAGGATAACAAACTCACATCCATACAACTAAATATGTTAGGTCTATCACTGATATTGAGCGCTTTCTAATGAGTCCCGCACATATATAATATATATAATATATATATATATATATATATATATATATATATATATATAAATCGTATAGACACATATACATATATATATATATATATATATATATATATATATATATATGCACACACACATATGTACACAACACACACACATATATATGTATATATATATATATATATATATATATATATATATATATATATATATGTGTGTCTTTATTTCTGAGATGTAGTATTGCAATTATTTACATTATTTACATTGCTCGTACTGTTGTCCTCATCGTTATTGACATATTTACAACGTTTCAGGCTTTGTAATTTCCAGCCTTGTTCAGACAATTGGAATTTCGATCGAAATGAACCGTTTATTTCGTCCACCGGATAGATTATTCGGAAGGGGCACGCCACGTGGATCTAGAGCAATCTACCTCGGTGGAAGAAATAAAGGGGTCAGTTCGAAATTCCAATCACCTGAAGAAGGCAGGATCGTATAACGGCCGAAACGTCGTGAATATGGCAATAAAGATTAGGTCAACAGTCTAGACATCGTAAATAATTTAAATATGTAGATGTATATATATGTATGATATTATTTTTTTTATATATGTACAAAAGAATTGCGTAAATGTATTTCTGCCCGACTCAGAAGTTTCTTGATAATATGTCCACTTTTCAATGGTTTAATTCGCATATTAATTATTTATAATTCGAAATCGGTGGAAATTATATTTACTATTAAGTAATTTATATATATAGATATATAAATAACATTATCGTTGCTCTATTTTTACAATATTGAGCAATATAAGGAAGTATCTGCTTCATTTTGAATTTTGAAATTTGAAATTATATATATATATATATATATATATATATATATATATATGAAAAATATAGTCTTAAGATGTGCTATATTTATGGGATAAAGTGCTCAATATCAGAGATAGAGCGTGTGTAAATATAAAATGAACATAGAAGTCAACATTAGAGGCGACAGTCTGTTTATGCTAGATGCAATCGTCGTGGCCTGATGATTGCATCTAGCATGAAACAGGCTGTCACCTCTAAGTGTTGACTTCGATGTTCACTTTTATATATATATATATATATATATATATATATATATATATATATATATATATATATATACGATGGATAAATTGTCGTCTAAATTATGCAAAATGGAAAATAACACTGATATCATATTTTAGCAAATATATTTACACAAAAATATCATGAAATACTAAAGAATAAATTTATTCAATAAAATCGCCATTGGCTTCAATCACAGCCTCCTGGCGACTTGAGAATCTTCTCTGCACTGTCCTCAGAATGGAAACCAAACACACTGAAATATTCGGTTTGGATCTTCTAGCGCGAATGCCAAGTAGTACAACATAAAGTTTCCAAATTTCAGGCAGAATGAATTGCGTCATAATATTTTTTTTTCTCATAGACGATGCCAAACTCATCCTTCTATTCTGTGGCAAAATAAAAAACAACGCGTATGCGCTAGATCAAAATTATAAAATGGCGACAGTTAACCCATCGCATCCTGTATATTAATTGAATATACGTTTATATATATATATATATATATATATATATATATATATATATATATATATATATAAATTATAAATTTCCTTTAGTCAGAACCCTCTCGTATCTACTCAGTGACGTACATCTATTCGGGAAATCTATCTATCTATCTATCTATCTATCTATCTATCTATCTATCTATCTATCTATCTATCTATTCCAGTCTAATTCACATCTATATATCTATCTATCTATCTATCTATCTATCTGACTCTTCACTATTTATCTATGTCTCTTCACTAGCTATCTCTATCTGTCTCTCTCTCTCTCTCTATCTATCTCTATCTATCTATCTCTTCATTATCTATAACTCTTCATTATCTATCTATCTATTCCAGTCTAATTCACATCTATCTATCTATCTATCTATCTATCTATCTATCTATCTATCTATCTATCTATCTATCTATCCCAGTCTCTTTATTATCTATCTATCTATCTATCTATCTATCTATCTATCTATCCATCTCTCTATCTATCTATCTATCTATCTATCTATCTATCTATCCCAGTCTCTTGATTATCTATCTATCTATCTATCTATCTATCTATCTATCTATCTATCTATCTATCTATCTCTTCATTATCCATAACTCTACTTCATTATCTATCTATCTATCTATCTATCTATCTATCTATCTATCTATCTATCTCAGCCTCTTGATTATCTATCTATCTATCTATCTATCTATCTATCTATCTATCTATCTATCTATGTCTCTTCACTAGCTGCCTCTATATATCACTTTCTCTCTATCCATCTTTCTATCTCTTCATTATCTATAACTCTTCATTATCTATCTATCTATCTATCTATCTAAGATTTATGTCTGTCTGCCAATCTGTCTGTTTGTCTGAGATTTATCTTTCTTCTTTTCACTTTGTTGTTGTTTTTTTTGTTTTTTGTCGCTCGAGGAAATCTGACCCCTCTAAGGAAAATTCCGGCTGTAAAAATAGTTGGCAAATATAGTTATCTAAATCCTGTCCCCTCCAAAATAATAATGATGAGGTCAAAGAGCACTATGGGGATGTATAAGCAGAAAGAAAGCCCGCTGACGTTAGACATTCTCCCTTCAATCTCTTTTGTGTCAACTAATTATTTTCGTCAGGTCATATACTTCCTGAAAGATTATATTGGGTTCTGGCCGCTCGTGCCAGGGTGAACATCGGAAACTAAAGATGTAAGCACTCGTGTTTTTTTCGCGGGAGGTTAAGGAGACCGGAAGTATGTCAAAAAACCTACGCGTGAGCGGACGGAAAGGGACAAGGGTGATAGAAATAAGTTTTAAATTATTATCGCACTCATAAAGACACACAAAGAAATAATCCGTTGTGTGGCCTTGATGTGACTATGATAACGTATCATGGCGGATTTTACTATATCTGCCAGAGCAGTAAAATAGTGTGGCATCTTAATGGTAATTGTTGCGAAGAGCGTACCTTTTTACTACTTCGACTTCAAGAATTTAAACACAATACTAGACTGGCAGTTAAGTCTCATCATTTTACTGTTAAAATGGCTAGCGTGAGTTCTACGTTTTTAAGGGAGTTCGCCCCAAGCAAGGCAATAAAGCCACTGAGGCACAAGGGGTTACAGGGTGTGGAAGAATTAGAAAAGAGAAACATTAGTAGGGAGCGGAAATCAAGGATGTGTAATGAGGGGGATAGCAGATAGCGATTGAAATTGCATTTTAAATTATTGAAGATTAAAATTAACTTGAAAACATGGAGCTGGAACCGAGAAGTGCGAGAAAAGAAACTGTTAGCATAGAACTTACGGTTACATCTAGCCATTTGTAAATTGATGAGATCTCGACGCCAGTCTAGCACACGATTTGAAATATTTGCTAACCATCAGGGAATTTCTTTCTTTGCTTCTTTCTTTCTTTCTTTTTTCTTTTTTTACTTCTTTCTTTCTTTCTTTCTTTCTTTTCCTTTTTCTTTTTTTACTTCTTTCTTTCTTTTCTTTCTTTCTTTCTTTCTTTCTTTATTTCCCTTTTTCTTTTTACTTGTTTCTTTATTTCTTTCTTTCTTTCCTTTTTCTTTTTTTGCTTCATTCTTTCTCTTTCTTTCTTTCCCTTTTTCTTTTTTACTTCTTTCTTTCTCTTTCTTTCTATCTTTCTTTCTTTCTTTCTTTCTTTCCTTTTTCTTTTTTTACTTTTTTCTTTCTTTCTCTTTCTTTCTTTCCCTTTTTCTTTTTTTACTTCTTTCTTTCTTTCTCTGTCTTTCTTTCTTTCTTTTTTACTTCTTTCTTTCTTTCTTTCTTTCCTTTTTCTTTTTTACTTCTTTCTTTCTTTCTTTCTTTCCCTTTTCTTTTTTTACTTCTTTCTTTCTCTTTCTTTCTTTCTTTCTTTCTTTCCCTTTTCTTTTTTTACTTCTTTCTTTCTTTCTCTTTCTTTCTTTCTTTCTTTCTTTCTTTCACTTTTTCTTTTTTTACTTCTTTCTTTCTTTCACTTTCTTTCTTTCTTTCCTTTTTCTTTTTTTTACTTCTTTCTTTCTCTTTCTTTCTTTCTTTCCCTTTTTCTTTTTTCTCTCTTTCTTTCCTTCTTTACTTCTTTCTTTCTTTCTTTCTTTCTTTTTTAACCGAGTTCAGGGCAGTAAAGCCACAAGGACACAAGTGGTTGCTGGGTGTGGAAGAATAAAAAAAAACAGAAACATTACTAAGGAGTGGAAACATAAGAGTAATCAGGAAGACAGTAGATAACGCTTCATATTGCATTTAAATTTTTGAAGGTTAAAATTGACTTGAAGAGAAAGGTTAGAGAGAGCGAAGATCATCTTGAATAAGTTAGAAAATGACCCTGAAATTATATATATATATATATATGAACTTGATTTCAAATCTTCATGAGCTTCTTAGCTATGATTAATTAATGATGGACACGCCATTTTCATTTATGATTCTTCTGTTAAGAGAGCAATTATATATTCTTATTGCTCAAAGTAGAGTCCAATAGAGTTATAAAAACCTCGGAGAATTCCAGTAAAATATCTTTAATCATTTCTAAGATACTACGTTTCAGAGCTTGATCTAACAATTGGACAATTTTGCTGTTACACGTTTTGGTCAATTTTGCTTCAAGCTTTTCGCTTCCAGCGTCTTATATGCAGGTTTTTACCGTTGCTGGGAAAACATCCATGTAACCAATCACAGACTATCATCACTGTCTTGTCCGTATATTGCTTAATATGTTGTACTGTAATTGTCATCTTTGATAATGGCTTATGTAAGCCGAAAGCTTAGATTGGATTGAAAAATATGGATCAATATTGTGATTTTCTTTCTTCGTTTAATGATAATGTTATTAAGCTTATCAGAATATATATATATATATATATATATATATATATATATATATATATATATATATATATATATATATATATGAAAAATAAAATCAACATTGGCTTTGATAAAATCCATCAATATATATCAAACAATTCAGCTAAGTTTTTCATTTTTTTTCCTTTTGTCTTTATTCATATTATTTATTCTCAGATATATTTTTAGTTATATCTGAAATTTTACATACACAACCACAATTCTTTTTTAGATTCTTGTAATAAATCTATTTTATTGCCAGTAGCTGTTTTGGCTCATTTTGTTTGGTGGTTTCGTAACGTCATATGAAATCCATTTTACTTGCTTCTGAGTTTTCGCGCCAATACCTGCAAACGAATTGCTAAAGAAAACACACAGTACAAACATCTAAGTTATTTAAGGCCAAGAAATATTTGTTTTATATTGTTGGAATTTGGGGGAGTTAATAATGATTTAGTGATACAAGTCTTACTAATTAACCCATAGCTGGGGGAGAATATGTGAATCCTTGCCTTTCCCAAGGTTTTTTGTGCGTAAGTGTCATCGAACACTCGTTGCCACTTTTGTAATGTCAACGAATACTCGTAGTTACTTTCGTAACGCTCGTTGTAGTAGAGACTTTGTAATCACAGATACAGCTATCGTAACACCGTTGAACAATACTGGTGTCAGATGCCTTTGAATATCACTCGCACTAATAGTACTTGCTCGATAATACTCGCTCGAATAGTAATCCGAATAGTGATCCGAATAGAGAAATAGTATAGTGAATAGAGTAGAGAATAGCAGTCCATATAGTAATAAAGGATAGTGGAGGAATAGTGATCAGTATAGTAAGAGAGTATAGAGGATAGACTAGAAATAGCGATCCATTAGACCTCATGCTAATTCCCATATATACATTTCCTTTACTATCATGTGATCTACTTATTCAAAATGGGATCGCCTGTGTTTGACTCTGGGGATCTGTGTTCAAACTCCAGTGTCGGCAGTGACACTTTATTCCTATATAACAAAGTGAACATAACAAACTTACCTGGAAAAGGAATTCGTCTCTCCGACTGACAATTCCGAGCCATTATCTATTAAACCACCCGCACACCCAAGCTTGCAGCACGTTATTCCTAAGCGGTCACCCATCTATGTAGTGACAAGGCTCGACGTTGCTTAACTTCGGTGATCGTACAGGAACTAGTGTTTCAACGTGATATGGCCATCAACCATATAATAATAGTTATACATGATGGAAAAATATATATTAATAAAATTTAAAGAATAAAAACACAACAAAATGATAACTATATAGACTATTAAAGATATTTATTATATATTATTAGCCTTTTGACTAAATTGAAGCACGAAGCGAAAGATTTTAAAGTTGAAATTTTCGGACACGCCTGTGTCCTTTTTCAACGAGACGGGGAATAAACAAAGATGTGGGTCTCACTCTTCCGAGGAATGTAGTTGTCGTTGAATAGAGGTCCTCCTGTGGAAACTATATTATATGCGTATACCCAAATCCCTGTTTAATCCCTCAATGTGTGATCGCATTTTGAAAATATAATTTAACTCCGATCTGCGTCTTACTTGTAGGCTGTTGAATGAAGACTATAAAAGAAGGCATATGATGTCATCAATGCTATGGAATGGTTGGTTGAAGTGTGCAGCGATATGAAATTGTTGTTGTCTTTGATGTTCTTTTGTGGTTATCGAACAGAAGACGGAATAAAAGCTAATATATATTCAAAATAAAATTCGGCCTCGAGCGTGTGTAGCCCTAAACTATAACTTATAGTTTAGTCCAGCACCGCACGAGTCGATCACATTTAAGAGATCAGAAAAAAGAAAATAAAACTAATGTTTATTTATTGATTGCCATAGTTTATCTGTAATTTCTTAATAAATGCATGTCTCTTTTCCCGAAGTCTCGTCGGTGAAGATTTACCGGAAAATTATTTTTATTAAAAGCAATACAATTATCTGTCTATATTTCTGAGATGAGGTATTATGTACATTATTTACATTATTCGGACTATTGTCCTCATCTTTGTCGCCATATTTATCACAACGTTTCGGCCTTTGTACGCTCCGGCCTTCTTCAGGTGATTGGAATGTCGAACTGAAGCCTTTATTTCGTTCACTGGGGTAGACTGTTCTAGTTCCACGTGCCATGTTTTAATGGATGTCAGTTATCAGTTATCTCCTGTTAATTTTTCCCTCTGACAGTTCTCCACTGCCTTAGCCGGGTATTAAACTCACACTCTTTGGATTCTGTCAGTGGATCTAACCAACGCCTTTATCCACTGTGCCATGTGTCCTTGAGGATAAAGAGTTCGGTTCTACATTCCAACCACCTGAAGAAGGGCCGGGCGTACAGCAGCCGAAACGTTGTGATAAATATGGCGACAAAGATGAGGACAATAGTCTGAATAATATTAGTGATAATACCTCATCTCAGAAATATAGACAGATACTGAATGTCCGAAACGTTGTGATAAATATGGCGACAAAGATGGCAACTGCTCTACCGCAGAAATAAATGGCAACATACTGCGGGAAAAAATATGCCTCGTCAGTAATGTATCGAAAGATACATGATCGCATAAGCGTGTATTACGCATGGCACATAACTGAACTGATATTCACTTACGCGCTATTACCCTTTGGAGAATGTATGAATTCTCTTCTCCCCCCAGCTATGGGTAAATAGCACGACAGACAGTGTTCTATAGCCTTGGATTGCAACTGGTCTACTGCAGAGATAAATGGCAATAGTCCGAATAATGTAAATAATGCAATACAATTAGTTCATATATTAACCGGCTTTTTTTTTTAAAACCTTCATTGATTGTTTTCGTAAATTGATGATAAGTCTTAAGTCTCTCACTAACGCCTTGCCTTGTTCAATCAATGCCTGTTGCTATTTTTAAGATGACTGCCGAAGATTCACAAGAGAAATAATTTTCACTCCAGACACCGACAAATGTCCAGCTTATTGAATTTTCCGAATTAATTTGAAAGCCACCTGTTCTGATTATTTTTTTTTAAGCCGGTTAATATAAACATTTATACCTGTCTGCCTTTTTGATTTTTTTTTCCTTTCTGTTTTTTATTTTTATTTTTTTACTAAAACAAACGACGCGATGTCCTTGTGTATAATTTGGAGATTATTTTTAAAGAAATCAAAATACATTCTCCGTCGGAAATAGTCGTATGCATTTGATCTGTGGTGGAACTTAAAAGTGTAGAATGAGAATTAATCCTGAGAGTGGATAAGTTATGAAAGTGCACATATGCCACACGTATTCACTTAGTGTATAATTTGATCCGCAATCTTATTGTATTAAATTTTTTTCAACACGCTAACGCGGGTTAAAATTCTCACAGTATTTATTATTGTCGAAATTTTCGCTAACATTTATTGCCCAGATTTACAAAATTATTTTAAGACATTTTTTATGCTTATCTATATAAAAAAACAAAAACAAAAAAAGAACGTATAAACATAAAAAAAATGTCTTAAAATAATTATCGGGCTTTGTCCATTTCATAATGTGTGACGTCATTTGTTTACATTTGGATACGCATCGAGCAGATATGAGATTCATAGAAGATTGAAATTCAAATACAGTAAAATCGACCTTGCTAACCGAACGCTCCTTTGTAGCCAAATCGGTTAAGGCACGTCAGGCTATATGAAGGTTCCGTATAGAATACAGGTTCGACTCCAGTTGGAGGACACATATTTTCTATGAAAATTTCTCGGACATTCAGGCCGGTAAATGTCGTTAATATTGTTTATTATAAACAGAGCATTTACTTAAATATTTGCATCTATAAAAAGAACATATAAACATAAAAAATGTAAGTAAGATTCATTCGAGCAGCTTCTTCCCGCGAACCACTCTCAAGAGAATATTTTCTTGATCACTACAATCATAACCTGTTCGAGTCAAGGTTTAACCGTTATCTTTCCCACATATCTGCATAAACGTTGCCTCTTATTCTGTAACCCTCTACATTGAGTGGCTCTTGGGCCTTGTACGGGGTAAACTGCACTGTAGCTTTCGGAAGGATCATTAATATTGCAGGTGGTGTTCGGAGAACTGAATCCACTGTTTGTGTCACTGACCTTACCACCGAATTTGAGCCAATCAATTTTCCAAACAAGTGCATAATCGCTAATGAAGAAGTGAGTTCTTTTTTTTTTTTAGGGGGTCAAATAGAAAAAGCAATTCGTTTCGGTAGATTCGAGCAACTCAATTATTCAAAAAAAAAAGCGAGTTCCAGGAATGCTTTCGTCATAAAGTGTGTGGCTTCAGAAGGCGACTACTTCGAAGGAGATTAAATGCCGAATTGCTATGTGTTGTAGTGTTCTTTTTAGAGCACCAATCCCGATACTTTTTGATCAGATCTCGTATGTCATGTGAGTTTTGTACGGAATCTTAAAACTCTTGAACGGATTTCTGGATGCCACACGTGGGTGGGTGGGGGAAATTTAATGCACCACATTCTCGGCTCAAAAGCAACAAAAACGAAATATTTTTTTTTTTTAAATGAATGATCACAGATGATGAAAACTGAAGATAGGGAGAAAGATATTCTGGCCCAGTTTTGAGGCAATTGTGAACGCCCTGAATTTAAGCACACGTTAACAATATTATATATAAAAAGGAAAGGAAACATAGGATAATGGATTTGTCAGATGGGCCAAAACTTATTAAATAACAGCGCAAGCAACAAGACAAACACTGGGGAATTTTATATAAAATTTTATAAGTTAAGTGCAAAAACAGAACAAAAGAATGAATATGAAAATATATACAGAAATCAGAGATCGATAGATTTCGAAGCCATAAAGATGAATAGGGGCGAATTAACATCTTTTGTGGAATATTCTATGCAAACTTTCGTGGGGTTATGGAGTGATTATCAATGAGGGTGAGGGTGAAGCAAACAATATTTATCTTGATTTTTAATATTATTATTATGATTGGAATCTCCCCGCCCGCCCTTTTTATATCTCTTTCGTCCTTTCTATTTATTACTCAATTTTTATATTCTCCTCTCACGGTGGAGTAGTGGATAGCGGCTCGGACTGAGGAATCGGAGTACCGAGTTCGAATTTGCCTTGGATGGCAACTGCTCTACCGCAGAAATAAATGGCAATCTACTGCGGGAAAAAATCTGCCTTGTCAGTAATGTATCGAAAGATACATGATCGCATAAGCGTGTATTACGCATGGCACATAATTGAACTGATATTCACTTACGCGCTATTACCCTTGGGAAAGGTATGAATTCTCTTCTTCTCCCCCCAGCTATGGGTAAATAAAAATTAAAATAAATTAAAAATAGTCTCCCATAGCAAAGACCTCATTCGAACAATTACTATGGAAGTATTTATAGAAGAAACATAAAGAGACAACCTGAATGTGAAGCCGAGGAGCCAGATTAGGACCGATAATATTGCAGTTTCTTCTTTGGATTTTTTCAAAGAGCTCAATGTAAATAGCATGGGCACCGGGCCATATCTGGCAGCAATATTCTAAGCATGGACGAATAGTAGACTTATATATATGTATGATAGATTTTAGAGAGAAACACACTTACTTAGCATCTTGAAAGAAATACGAGTAAAACAGGAAACAAAAAAATCACCTTACACTTTGACCTATGACCTTTCTTTCTCCAGTATTCGTGGTATTCGTACTAATTTATGTAGTGTAGAATCTTTTCCCGTGAAAAGGTTAACCAGATATCCTTATAAAACTAATTTTGCTATCGCTACAAGTTGGACTCTTTGACGAAATTTGTTTTCCGCATGAGTAGATTTGCTGCGGTGGTTCGTGACCATTATTAAGTGGTTGATCTTTGAATAATGAATGCAGTATTATGATTTCACGGTGGAGTAATAGATAACCGGATTGAGGAATCGGAGAGCCGAGTTCGAATTCCAGTAGAATCCATTAACTGCTAATACTCTTGGGAAAGGCATGAATTTTCTTCTCTCCCCACCCTAGACCGGGTTCTATAGTCTTGGATTGCAACTGGTCTACCGCTGAAATAAATGGCAACCTACTGCGGGAAAAAATCTGCCTTGTCAGTAATGTATTGAAAGATACATGATCGCCTAAGCGTGTATCACGCATGACACATAACTACATAACTGATTGACGTCTCTGTCTGGCCCTCCCCTTGGTTTTTCCTATTCTGTATTTCCACCGTTTTCCAATCAGCGTGTTTATTGCATAATCCACGCAAACACCCCGTTAGGTCAATTCTTTACAACTGTCTTCGCCAGGACATGTTGTTATGATGAGGGCTTTTCGTTAAGTTGGCCGGCACGTTGAATTCTTTCCTCACTTAAGTCATCGTTCAGGACATTACATATTGTCTTTTTTTTCTTTTCTTTTTTTTTTTCAACCTCTTGTTAAATGTAGCCGTCTCTTCTACTCCAATAGCTTCATGTCTCGCACTTCTCGCCTGTGAAACTCCCTCCCCTTTTCCTGTTTCCCTGATAGCTATAATCTCCAACTATTCAAATGTAATGTCAATCGACGTCTCCAGATGTCTTGATCTCTCCCCTGTCTTTCTTTTCAACCTTTCCTCTAACACTCCCTATTTGCTCTCGCTCTAACTCTCTGGAACCCCTTGCGTGCTAGTGGCTTCCCGTCTTGCTTGGGGTGAAACGCTTAAAAAAATTCGACAGCCAATTTGCATTCAAAATATGCGATGCTATATATCTGGTGCGATTTAAAGAGCATTACGAGGATCCTTCTACAAAATCAGACATTGAATTCAAACAAGTACTGTTCCAAGTTGGACTAATTAAAGACAGAAATCAAAAGCCACTAAGATACAAGGGATTACTGGTAGTGGATTAAAAGTATTCAGAAGTGACCAATCAGAAGTGTATCGTCTTCCATCACGACAATGCCAGACTCAACGTCTCGTTGCAGAAGCGGCAAGAATTGGTACACTTGGCTGGAATGTCCGGGATCCAGAACATTCATCTAGGGAACATTCGTTTAAGGAACACTGGTTTAAGTAATATTGGTCTAAGAATATTGGTCTAAGGAACGCTGGTCTAAGGAATATTGGTCTAAGGGGTATTGGTCTAAGGAATGTTATTCTAAGGAATATTGGTCAAAAAGATATTGGTCTAACAATATTGGTCTAAGGAATAGTGGTCTAAGAGATATTGGTCTAAGGAATATTGGTCTAAGGAATATTGGTCCAAGAGATATTGAACTAAGAATATTGGTCTAAGGAACGCTGGTGTAAGGAATATTGGTCTAAGAGATATTGGTCTAAGAGATATTGGTCTAAGGAATATTGGTCTAAGGAACACTTGTCAAGAATATTTGTCAAAAGAATTTTCGCCTAGAGAATTATAGTCTAATGTGTTAATATTAATATACTAACAATGCATGCTGATATATGCTTTTAAACCATATGTATCATCAGTAATTAATGTTGCTATAAGTGTCTTAAATATTATTCTGTAATATCGTGAATATCAATAACATTGAGTATTTTGTACATGAATAAAGTACTCATTTATTAAAAAATATTATTATAGATGATTGCTCCTTATACGGATATTCCATAGACCAATGTCCTTAGACGAATATTCCTTAGACAAATGTCCTTAAACAGACAGGTTCCCCTAAGACTGATAGTCTTTAGAAAAATGTTCCTAAATCCGAAATTGCACCCGTTGTACACACCTGACTTTGCAACATAGGATTATCAGTTAATTCTGTCCTTAAATATAATGGGAATGATTTTAATTCTCTGGAAGCTCGTAAAAGCTTTTTCACCACCCAGAAAGATGGAATCATGAAGTTGCTTAAAAGGTGTCGAGAGAAAATGGAACAAAGGAACATCTGCATAGATATGTAAATAGCGTCTTTGAAATTCACTTAAAAACGCTACGGACATTTTTCCAGACCAATATTTTGTTTCAGACCGAAATTTTGTAACGTGTTTTACACACACATGCACACACACACACACACACACACACACACACACATATATATATATATATATATATATATATATATATATATATATATATATATATGTAAAAATATATGGATATAGACCCGACAGTATGAAGAAAAATATACTGAAAAAACGAACAAAATCCTAATATGCGATTATGCTGTTTTAATGTTTAATGTCAACGTCGGACGTTTTGGTCTAATAGACCATCTTCAGGACATATTCATAAAACATAATTAACATAGACCATATACAATTCAACATGAAAAAGACGATGGATATATCTTATAAAGATTTCAGTTATCTGTTTGGATTGGTATTGCTTTTATGTCCATCGTCTTTTTCATGTTGAATTGTATATGGTCTATGTTAATTATGTTTTATGAATATGTTCTGAAGATGGTCTATTAGACCGAAACGTTCGACGTTGGCATTAAACATTAAAACAGCATAATCGCATTTAGGATTTTTGTTTGTTTTTTCAGTATATTTTTCTTCATATATATATATATATATATATATATATATATATATAACGATAAAAAAATTCTTCACAAACGTGTTTCCTCCTTAAAGGGACTTTATCAAGGCAGATGTAAAGATTTCATTTTGCAACTTTATAGACAGAAGTAAAGAGGAAGAAAAATATCGTTAAGTTTACAAACATTCTAAAATATTCATAAAACCAACTGTGTGAGGAAAGGTAAACTATGGAAGACACTAAGTGATGTAATTTATTGCCTAATAAACGAAAGTGAGTAAACATTGCTTTTATTCATTTTTTATATACTTATATATATATATTTTTACTGTTAATACACCCATCGCTATCTACTGTCTTCCTGACTTCTCTTTTCTCTTCCCGCTCATTAGTAACGATTCTGTTCTCAATTCTTCCACTCCAAGTAACCCCGTGTGTGTTAGTGGCTTTACTGCCTTTCGTGGGGTGAAATTGATTAAATATATATACAGGGTGGTCCGAAAGTCTTGTCGCACACTACTAAAAAGTAATGAGAATAATAGAACAACTAATACAGTAATACAAAACACATGTATTGGATTCAGTTTATTCACTATGTGACAGATAGACCCCAATACTTTCCGAAGCGTTATTTCGTTAGAAGCAAAGAAAAGACGGAAATTAATGCTATAAACTTTGGAGTCAATAATAATAATAAAAAACAGCATTGAATCATTAGTAATAAAAAATAGAGTTCAATATGAAAGTCACTATTTCATTTTGTTTTGAAAAGGTGTGAGATCTGGAAGATTATATTTCACTTCCGAAGATTATAGAGGTCAATGGTGAAATATTGTCGGTAACCGTTACTACGAGTTAGAATAAATCAAGATTAATTATCAAGTTGAACTGGCGAAGGGAATAAAAAAAGTCCGAAATCCTAAGCTTTGGTCTAAAAATGTGTCATTCTCCATAAGGGCAATGCAAATCTACACACAGTTCAGTATCTCTAAAACACCCTGGGATATTTTACACAATCTGACATCTCGGCTTCAGTCAATTTCACACCGCCACAATACAGAATTCCTGTGCGTGCGTTTTCTACTAGTTGGTTCAAAAGCCTTGTCACCCGCTACCAAAAGGTAATGAGAACAACAAGCAATACAGTAATACAAAGCACATGTACTGTATTTAGTTTATTCACTTTCATTGACGCTGTCATACATCAAGAAGGTCTGTATGAACAGAGCGTCACCTTTTTCATGGCACACAATGATGCGGCGCCATGTCATGTGTGAAATTTTACGAAGTTATGCTTTTCTGATCGTTGCAAAGGCTCTCCGAACGGCGTCCTTTCACTGATGAATATTCTAGTACCGTCCATACAATTGCAAGCAGCCTCTCTTCCTAACTGCAAGAGCTCGTGTCAGCCATCTGAAATAGAAAATCATATTATGTAGAGATGACAAGACTTTAGGACTACTCTGTATATATATATATATATATATATATATATATATATATATATATATATATATATATATATATATAGTAGTAGTAGTAATCCTATAGGTATAAGAAACTATACTCGCTCGGAAAACCTTCAGTGTCTTGATTTGCAAATAAACAAGCCAATACCAAGGAAAAATATATATAAAAAACCAAAGAACCAAGAACATGTACGTTAGTTGAAAATAATCGTCTAGCATGAAAGTCCAAAGTCCAAAGAAAAAAAACCGATGCGATAGCACAAAATAACTAAAATAAAAGTGTTAACTAAGTATAGATAGATAACTATAGATAGATAGATAGATAGATAGATAGATGTGTCAAAAGATAGACGTCTGTATTTCTGGAAAATATTCTCTAAATTATTTTTAGAATTAGTGCCCACACAATCGCCATTAATAAAGCAAAAAAAAGCTTAGAACATTTATAAATTATTTTTAATGAACCCGCCTTAGTTTGGAACATCTTCTCAAAAGACATTTCGAAATGAACCAGTGCGTATTTTCTAAATTCATACGTGTCTATATTTGTGCATGCGTCCATCTGTGTGAGTGTGTCAGTTTATGCCTGCATGTCGCATCTCTGCGTGTGGGCAGTGAGTGTCCATCTGTGGTTATATATAGATTCTGGTGAGTAACATGGCGATATTTGCGAGTCCGAAAATAAACCCTGTGTTTCCGCAGTATTTTTTTTTCCTTCCCGTTGTTTTATAAAATTCATGAGCGACCTCTTCCGACGTGTGTTTGATGCTGTAAATGGTGACGATTCTTCTTCCGCCGACATGACGTCATTTGTACATGGTGCTACAAATCGCCTCTGTCAGGGGAAAAACACTATTTCAGCTGCTCTCAGACAAGTTGGCCTTCATAATAGGGTTTTGTGATCTCTTTCGTTTCTTTCTTTCTTTCTTTTTTTCTCTATTTTCTTTATTCTGTTTTTCTTTCACTTTCTCTCGTTTTCCTTCCCTTCTTTCTTCGAGGTTAATCCAGTTTCTTTCCTTCTTTCTTTTCACCTTTTCTCTTTTTTCATTTTTTTTCATCTTTCTCTGAAATTCTGCTCATCTTCTTTCGCGATTTCTTCTCGGCTCGTTCAATTTTTTCTTTCTTTCTTTTTCTTTTTCTTTGTTTCTTTGTTTCTTTCTTTCTTGTGATTTCTACGATTTTGCTTCCTAATTTTTTTCTTTCATATGTTTATATGTATTTTATTCAGTCGCTTTTTTTTCTTTTTACCGATGATACTTCTTTCTTTCTTTTTTTCTTTCTAATTTGGTTTCTTGTACATTCTACGATTTAGTTTCCTTGTTTTTATTATTTTTTTTATTTTTTATGTTTGTCTGTTCTTTATTCTCTCGTTTTTTTTCCCTTTTTTTAACACCAATACGTTCTTCTTCTTCTCCTTCTTCTTCTTCTTTCTTTCTTTCTTTCGTTCTTTCTTTCTTTCTCCCCATTCCTCCTTGGCTTATATTTATTTTGTTTCCTCTCTCACCTCCTGCTCATTTTTCACTTTTTCGCCAAGGTTCATTCAGTTCTTTTTTCTTTCTTTCTATTTTCTTTGTATTTTTTCTTTCTCTCTTTCTTTCTTTCTTTCTTTCGAAATTGGTTACTTGTACCTTCTACGATTTTGTTTGCTTTCTTTTCTTTTTTTATGTTTATCTGTCATTCGTTCTCTCGTTTTTTTTTTCTCTTTTTTTCAACTGATAAATTCTTGTTCTTCGTCGTCTTCTTTCTTTCTTTTCTCTTTGATATATTTTTATTTTGCTCTATCTCTCATCTGCTACTGACCTTCTTCCTCTTTTCTAAGTTCGTTCAGTTCTTTTTCTTTCTTTCTTTCTTTCTTTCTTTCTTTTTCTTTCTTTCTTTATTTCTTTCTTTTTTCTTTCTTTCTTTCTTTCTTTCTTTCTTTCTAACTTGGTTGTTTATACCTTCTACAATTTCGTTTGTTTCTCTTTTTTAGTTTTTTTTTATGTTTATTTGTCCTTTTTTCTCTCGTTTTTTTTTTCTCTTTTTTACCGATGATACTTTTACATTTTCTTCTTCTTTCTTTCTTCTTTTGTTCTATATTTATCTTTCTTTATCTCTCACCTCCAGCTCATCTCCCTATCTTTATCCAAGGCTCGTCCAGTTTTTTTTCTTTCTATTTATTTTCTATTCTTTCTTTCTTTCTTTCTTTCTTTCTTTTCTTTCTAAGTCGGTTGCTTGTACTTTCTACAACTTCGTTTGCTTGCTTCATTTTCTTTTTTATGCTTATCTATCATTTAATCTCTCGTATTTTTCTTTTTTTTTCTACTTATAATTTCTTCATCTACGTAGTCTTCTTTCTTTTTTTCTTTCTTTTCTCTTCTTTGATCTATTTTTATTTTGATCTATCTCTCATCTTCTGCTCGTCTTCTTACTCTCTTTCTTGTAAGTGTATTCAGTTCTCTTTCTTTCTTTCTTTCTTTCTCTCTGTCTGTCTTTCTTGGTTGTACTTTCTACTATTTAGTTTCTTCGCGTTTTTTTTTCTCTTTTTTTACCACTGTCACGTTTTTTCTTGCTTTCTTTATTTCTTTTTTTCATAAGTACAAACCCTCATATTATTGTTTATATATGCAGGTAGGTGGGAAATTCGACATGGTGTAATGGTTAGAAAGCACGTCTCGCTATATCACTTACGATTTAGTAGTAAATTCAATCCTCACTGGGTGCTCCACACTTTCGGCCTTGTGCCACATTTAAACTACGCTAAATAACTTACCGTAGATAGGTATGAGGTTGAGTCATATGTAATTCCTATTGTAATGGCAAATGTATCATCCTAACGAACTGCCGTCCTGAGTAAAATGATAAACTACATCCGTGTCCTGGGTAAGACGATAAACTACATCCAACACTAAAGCCACTGATCAGGAGGTTTTGGGAAGAGTGGAACCATCTCTTCATTGCTTCTGTGTTCCCAGGTCTACTCTGACCCGGGGTGGTAGCACCTGTTAGGGTCCCATCTATGGGAAAATAGTTAACCTCCAAACTGGGGGTCAACACACTATGAAAGTGTAAAAATAGGTTTTAATACCAGAAATACTTTGTAAAATTATTACCAGCAATTAATTTTTGAAGGAAAAAATTATCATCAGCAATACATTATTACTAGCAATAAATTTTTGAAAAAAATATTACCAACATTATATTTTTTGAAAAAATAGTACCAGCGATACATTTCGGAGAAAAAATATTACAAGAAATAAATTTTTGAAGGAAAAAATCTTACCAGCAATACATCTTTGAAAAAAACATATTACCGGCAATAAAAATTTTGTCGACATAAAATAACCCATTGAGGTTGATATGCCGTAAACCAAACCAAACCTAACCTAACGAACTTTTCCTTAATACATTGTCACGGGTGATGAAAATGAGTTACATGCGACAATGTACAATGCAAAACGCAGTGGACTGACAAAAACTAATCTCCACCAAAGACTCCAAAGGCTGAGTTCCATGTCGTGCATTTGATCGGAATTATAGGGCATTATTAAAACACTATAAAACATTAAATGCACAGCTACACGTTCAGCAGCTGCAACGTGTCTGTAAGAGTTTTATCGAAATGTGTCTAATGCTCGTCAATAGGAGAAATGTTCTTCTCCTCCACGACAAAGCAAGGCTGCATACATCAAGAATAACACACAAAAAAAAATTGGAACTTGGCTAGTTTGTTCTACACCACACACCATACTCACCTAACGTTGTCTCAACCGATTATCTTTTTCGACTCCTGCAAAACGCTTTGATGGGAAAACTTCCACTCTGAAAAAAAAAAAAGATTCAAGGGTGCGTCGAAAATGTTTTCGCATTAAAACCTGCAGAATTTTACTCCAAAAGTATCAAAGAACTGATAATTGGCAAATAATGATGACTCCATAACTGATTAAAATGAACTTTCATTTATTTTTTGTAGAATAAAGTTGATAAACTAAACTGGAAATTAATTATGACTCAACCTGATAGTTTTAAACGGGCATCTGAACAGTTTTAAACGGGCATCTGAACAGTTTTAAACGGGCATCTGATCACGTCTAAACACTCTCAGGTGATCCCATAAGTAATTTTTTTTAAAATAGTATGTTTAACAAGAATTAAGTTCAATCAATCTTTTACCTATCAGTTTCTCCCAAAGATCCACAAGCTTCATAATACCATTTCTGCAGAAGTCTTTTGGGTTGAACGAACCACTGTATGGGTGCATCTTCAAGAATCACCAGCCCAGTTGGCGGCGGTGTGGAGTGGAGCGGCAACGGCTTGTAACTTTCAATAATTTAAAAAAACAAACTATTTTTCAGCCTCGCCGAGCTGATCCTAAATTCTCACCAGTCACGATCAATGTTTGCATTTCCTATGAGTCTTTTGAGATTCAAGTTTGCCTCAGTGCTCAAGAGGAACTCATACATACGATACCATTGTTAACGACGCTGGAAGAATAGCCCCGTCCTTGTACCGCTCGGGAAAGTATCTGGCTCCTCCAAGCATGATCTGTCTTTACAAACCGAAAATGGAGTATTACTGCCATATCTGAACCGGAGTTGCCCAATCACCCCTTTCCAGGCTTGGCAGAGTTCAAAAGCGTCTACGTGACCTTGTGGGCAATGAATTATTTTCTACAGCGTCGCAAGTCTATGGAAAATGTTCTGATGAGCTGCATTCCCTCGTTTCAGTATCTGAGACATTTACAGGTAAGTCCCGTTTATGCTATAGTTATATATATATATATATATATATATATATATATATATATATATATATATATACAGAGAGAGTCATCAACAGACAGGCTGTTTCGCAGCTCATAAGTGTGGCTAGACATCCTATTGCTTCAAGCCGGGATCGAAACCTGACCGATTTGGCATCAGTCAGAGATTCTATCCCCGTTGCACGACAGAGAGAAAGGGAAATTTTACGTTGTAAACAACACGTATGGTTCCTTCATCACGAAGCATCTTATCAAAAACCCCAATTGTGACGCTAACTTTAGCATTGACTCATTAACCATATCGAGTCGTGCTTGCTCTATGTTCCAGCTCAATGTCCTGGAAACAGTTTATATTCGGTACAGACAGCCCTCCCTCTGTTTACAGAGGGAGTGTCTGTTGGAACTAAAGGTGATTTCAATTTAAATTGTATTCCGCCTCCATTAATATTACATATCGTTTTTTATTTTTTGTTTTATTTTCTTGCAATATATAATCCCTCGATCCAGCGCTGTTGAGTGTGGGTAAAACCGGTCGTTTACCTTGAGTCGTTCTTGGGCTTTGCATTGCATGAATATGGTTCTGTAAAGTTCGGAATTGGTGGGTAATCACCTAGCCCTGGAAGATGTGCCACTTTCATCAGTGGAGAACTTTAATTGTGTCAGATGTGATCTTTACTATATAAATACACGCTTTGTTATGTTGGAACAACATCTTTGCGAGCAATCTAACCGAGCCTTGTTTTCTGCAAAACTAAACTGAAACACGTTTAGTGCTTAAACTAACTGATGACTATCATTGTAATTTATTTCGTACTGTCATAATGTAGGCCTTCTGGATTAGGGAAATGAGTATTAAATCTTCAAATTAGAATTTTAAATTGAAATAACTGGATCTAACCGTAGGTTCTATGCTTACAGTTTCTTCTTTCACATTTCTCGCTTGTTGAACTCTCTTGTGACTTCACGCTTTCCAACTTTGATCTTCAGAAATGTATACGCGGTCTACGGGGAATTTTTGGCCGAGCCTATGGGCTCGGATACTCCAAATGAAATTCGACCTCGTGCCACCTCTAATGGCGTGGGGAGGTTGGTAGATATCCTGCAGTCGGAGATTCGTCTCCAGTTGTGCTGGTCAAACTGTCTCCCTCCGGACAGAGAGGATCTCCAGACGAGGGTATTTCGAAGGTCAGAGCTTCGTTTCGGGAAACAGCTATCGAGGTCTACGGGGAATTTTTGGCCGAGCCTAAGGGGATCAGATACCCCACATTAAATTCAATCTTGTGCCACATCTGGCCGCGTGAGGCAGTTGGTAAGTATCCTGCAGTTGGAGATTCATTGTGGAATTCACTTGACTCACTTCTAGCAGTCGACTACTTCTTCTACGCGCCGCTGGGGAATCTTATAGGTGTTGTTCTAGTCCTAAGTATTATCATTCATTACCAACCTTCGTTTGATTATTCTATTCAGTAACCTTCCATAGGTTACAACACTCAAAGACTTTATTGCTCTCCGTCTGTTATGCTTTATCTTTACAAGAACCGCATCAAAGGAAAAAGTGCGCATTGCTTCTATACCTGGATTGGAGCTACCCAGTCCTCATTTTTCTGATCAAATCTACGCGGCTTTATGGGGGATCAATTATTTCATAGCTCTCTCTCTTTAATAATGCTTTTCCTTTTTCTTTTACTCATATTCTCTCTGCTATATAAGAATAAATTTCGCTGCCAACATTTGTTTGAACATAGATTGCCAGTGTGCAATCACAGGCGACCCTATTATTGAATTAAGTAGACAACGTGACCATAGAGAAAACACATAAGTAGAAAGTAGCGTTACATTCAAACGATCGTTATTTCTAGTCTATCCTCTATTACTATTCGGATCGCTATTTCTACTCTATCCTCTATTACTAAACGGACCGCTATTTCTACTCTATCGTCTATTACTATTCTGATTGCTATTTCTACTCTATCCTCTATTACTATACGGATCGCTATTTCTATTCTATCCTCTATTACTATTCTGATCGCTATTTCTACTCTATCCTCTATTACTATACGGATCGCTATTTCTACTCTATCCTCTATTACTATTCGGATCGCTATTTCAAACTCCATCCTCTATTACTATATAGATCGCTATTTCTACTCTATCCTCTATTACTATACAGATCGTATTTCTTTTTTATACTCTATCGCTATTTCTGCTCTATCCTCTCTATTACTATTCGGATCGCTATTTCTACTTTATCCTCTATTACTCGCTATTTCTACGGATCGGATCGCTATTTCTAATCTATCCTCTATTATCTATACAGATCGCTATTTCTACTCTATCCTCTATTACTATACTATACAGATCGCTATTTCTAGTCTATCCTCGACTATACGGATCGCTATTTCTAGTCTATCCTCTATTACTATACGGATCGCTATTTCTAGTCTATCCTGTATTACTATACGGATCGCTATTTCTAGTCTATCCTCTATTACTATACGGATCGCTATTTCTAGTCTATCCTGTATTACTATACGGACCGCTATTTCTAGTCTATCCTCTATTACTATACGGATCGCTATTTCTAGTCTATCCTCTATACTACTATATTTCTAGTCTATCCTCTATTACTATACGGACCGCTATTTCTAGTCTATCCTGTATTACTATACGGACCGCTATTTCTAGTCTATCCTCTATTACTATACAGATCGCTATTTCTAGTCTATCCTATATTACTATACAGATCGCTATTTCTAGTCTATCCTCTATTACTATACGGATCGCTATTTCTACTCTATCCTCTATTACTATACGGATCGCTATTTCTAGTCTATC